CTACCTGTATTTTTTTCCTGATCCTAGCATTAATATTATTAGGAAGAAAATCCGCTCTTGTAATGGACGCCAAATTACCTAACCGTTCTTGTAACTTGTATGGATTTTGTACAAGTACAGTACATACATTGCTATTTCCAGCGACTATTACACCAAGTATCATACAAATTCTGCAAATAGGATTTCTGCGGCGCTGCAAAGTTTCTCGTACATTAATATTTTTGTAATCTAATTAATGGCAGGCGCACCATTATTATTAGTATCCTACAGCTAGGTACTTTCAATTTCACGATGGTTGCATGCATTGGTAACGTCCACTAAGTAAAGTATTGTGCGATTTATAATGCGTTAATTGAACTTCTATTAAATATACCATTAATTAACTGTTGTGGCCCAATATATTACCTAAAAGCAAAGCTGTGTTATAAATATCGATGGTCATGTCGTGAATATAAAATGGATTAGCAAAGGGCAAATCTCTCGCGCTGACACAATATTTTATAGTGCATTTATAGAATTAATGAATTTAATTTAGACGTCAATGACTATACCAATAGATAAGTGTGCAAACTGTTGATTACCTATTGAATGCGGCGGAAATGGTTTGTCACAAACAATATCAATTTTAACAAGTGTTACAAATGGATATTCTATGGAAGCTTAAAGTGTTTCATAAAGTGTAACTGAAATTCTGATCTTTGCAAAATAGCTCTTTGCAATGCTCAATGTAATTGAATTTCTATTCTTTAAGTAACAGATTAAAAGTAATTCCATTTTCTCCTCTAATCAACAGTGTTCAACCATCCCCTATGCTGTTAACACTCGAATGGATAGTGATAGACGTGCTGAGCTTCGGAATAAAGACACGGTGCAATTGGTAACTGCAGTCATTCATGTAGTAAGGACGGAATTATTTACATATCAATTTTGTTTAGATAAAAACAGAAAAGGCCACCTAACATTGAATCATGTTATTTAGTATTAGAACTTGTTAATTAAACCATCGTCGAATTAACTGCTTACAAGCCGAATGGCCCACTAATATTAAGCAGCAAATGAATATACTGATGTACAAGCGAAGGGATTCTTAAAAGTAAGCTCAGATCTTCTTATAATATAATTGTATTTGAATTGTGTGGAGTGATTAATATTTCGTTAACTACTCGTATTCCATTTGTCACTTTAACTTCTTTAGTTCACGTTTAACAAAGTAATTTGGAACTATTACTTTTTGGGCCGTAGTTACGACGCACATTTTGTTCTTCGAAGCTATGTACTTATTTACTTTGGCTGTCAGGCGACAAATGCTCCTACTATGATTTTTATTGACTTAAACCCCAAAAACGAAAATTGGCAAATTAATTTCAAATGGCGATATCTAAATTCCCTATTGGTTAATGCTTTCTTGTCAACCGATCCCGAACATTTTTATTAAATTAATTTTCCTACAGAGAAATGCTGATGCAAGGTTTCTACGGTCGCAGCGCCGTAATATCAAGAACGTATTACGATGACAAAAGGAATAAATAAATAAATAAATAAATAAACAAGTAAATAAATCTAGAGATGGTACAGTTGACATACCTTTGAATAATGAATAGTAGTAATAATAATATGGTCAATTTCACTGGAAAATAGAATTTGCAAGTAAAAGCATGATAATACAATACAGAAACTATTACACGATCACTGTAAAATTCGCTCTGTAATTGCCAGCAATATTATTCGGAACAGAAAATTAAAAACTCGTCAATGGTGTAAAACGGCAACACTTATCAGTTTTTCTTTCTTTCTTATCAGTTTTTCTTTATTTCGGGCCGAAAACTAACGTGTTTCGTTTCGCAATTGGAATTCAAGAATAGTCGTCACAATCGAAAAACAATCTAAGATTGCAGAATTTGGCAAAAGATGTTTGTAACATATATGAAAGATAAAGGACCGTCTCCGCCTGCAACATAAAGTAATAACTAGATTTTGTAAAATTGTAAAAGTCTTCAAAATTATAGGTAGTTCAAATATTGTTCAAGAACAAAAATTGTTATGAGAAGTTGCATATAGAAAAAATGTATTGAATTGAAACACATACATATATACCTACACACTGAACGGAGTTCGTCGGCTTAGTATATAACCATTTTAAATTATCATGTACTATTGATCCCACCTTTTCGTGTTACATTTAACAAGCAACTTTCAAAGTTTCCCACTGTTCAAGTACGTAACTAACGCGTTAAAAGCATCTCAAGAGCGCGATCTTTCACATTCTTTCAGAAAAGCGTTAAAAATTAAATGCATGTTAGGCATCCACGTAAAGTTAATTGGTTCTCTCGATAAAAAAAAGGGTGGCACGATTGTATAACAAAGTATCACCTAAAAGCAATTCCCTACAAGTCTGCACATGTTTTATTTCCGTCGTCAATACAGGTTGCATGGTATCTGTTTGCGGTAGAATTTGTAATAAAATTGTGTAATGATGTAACTAAAGTATAAATAAGAACAAAGGCATGTCGCCATGCTCGCAATAAATGGAACGTTAATGGGTGCTTTCTAAGTTCTTAAAGCTACCAATACCTTCGATACTATACATTTATGAGGGGGGTTGACGTATCACAGTGGCACAAAACGTTAAGTTACTAGACATTCCATCTATTGTTTTGCACGGTGAAGGTACAATACGACCCTGCTTTCGGAATACCAAAGTTTGTAGACAATAGCAAGAGGATGTATTAAAGGAGAAATAAAATGCCAATTAGTGAATACGAGCTCGGTAGTTTCAGTGGAGCCAACGGCATTCCCAGTTCTATTCTAAAATTTCTCATAATACCTTTTGTCTCTTTCAGAATGCCGTTCTGTCAGGTATAATTCCCATAATGGTTGGAAAAAGAGTAATCACTTTAAAAAACAATAATCATCGACGATTGTCTGTTAAAAATTTGAATGCAGTATATCTTTCAAACGAACCGAGGAGCTTTTTTTTTGTGCAAACTGGAAATAAAAAACCTCCTTTGTGAAACGCTGAATAAATCATAAACTGAACTGCATGAATTTTTTGTAACAATTATGTTAATGGTACAAAAGAGTTATTGTTTTATTTTAAATATATCTCAAATATAAAACAAAAAATTTACATGTTGTACACAAATATAAAGCATTGTTAGGTTTAATTTCGAAATATTTTAACTCTGATGCTTATCCATACGGAAATGTTCACACAGACGTGTAATGCTAAAGAAGTATCTTGAATCGTAACATTATGTATAAAATATAACCGTACGTACATACAAATGTTCACCAATTATTCTAATATACTTCTAGCTACTATTATTAAATCTATATGTGATGCAGATGAATGTGTTCTATGCTGGTTTACATCTTTAATACTCTGTTTCGTAAAATTATTGATATTACATTCATCAATAACTGTATAAGTTTAATTACCTCACTCTGAACGCGGAAGAAATACCGATTTATATGATTTTTACTGGAATCGCTACAAGGAAAATACGTTTAAGAAAACCACGAATTTTCCTGACATTTTAAAACATGCTAATGTTTAAGAATTAATTAATAAAATCAGTATATTACGTCATAAGGTTGTAATAGTGCGTGTTACAGGCGAGTAGAAAAATTGTCATTCCACAAAGCTGGCATACGCAAATTTCAACCGAATGACGTACCATACTTTTTCTACGATCTCCGTGAATTTCGAAATGAAAATAAGGCAAAACCCAAAACGACGTATGTTCAAATTTTTGACATTTGTACTTCCAAACGTACATGATCTATTCTAATTTTTTTCATTGCGCACGGGTGTAGGTAATGGGTACTATATCTTGCCTCTATTTGTGATATTACGGAGCTTCGATTCGGATTCCGAAAGTTCGGCACTTTAAATTAAAAATCCCGCTTCCGGAACATCGCTACTCTAAATTATACGTTATGAACTTATTTTCAGGGTGGTCGTAGAAAAAAACTATTTACCGGAATACAATAATTTTTAATCATGTAACGAAATACACCAGGGGTAGGTTGAACTGAATGCTGTTCAATAACAACATCGTAATTATCGAAAAACATTTCTGATTAATTGTAAAAGTAGTAAAAATGTGATCAAAATTCGCCCTTGCGTTTAAAGAGAGTTTACTAAGCTTTTTACTTCGACAGTACCTATTTACCGAAAAATATTGACATACAGTTCTCTATCCGACCTCCGGTGATCGCTCTACTACTGAGCTACACAGTCGGTATGGTAGGTTTGTTGAAGCCTAGGGTAGGTTTAAGGTTTAGCGTGAAAGATTTTGTTGATGTTAATTTCGGTATGGGAATATCGGAAATGCTAGTTGGGACATCCCGTATATAGCATAATTCAAGTTATATCATAAGACCTGCGAATTTTTTAAAATTTCAAATTAGACCCAGAATGGGAAATTTTGTTGAATTGTAATTTTTAATGTTAGTTTCTTATTGTAAATTTAGTCGGTAATTTTTTAATTCATTTAATTTTATTTCTTGTATTCAGGTTGTATGATAAATTTAAAACACATAAATAAGGGAACATTTAATCGTAATGTGAAATAAATAAAAAATAAAAAAGTTTTATCTGGTCAGATATTAGTAAAAAGTTATTATCAATAGTAATATAACAAGGGCGACACATGCTTACCGATAATTTTGCCCACGCGAGGAATCACGAGTGCTGGTTGGCCCGAGGGCAGTTTTCTAAGGGCAACCAGTACGAGGATTCTTCGCAAGGGCAAAATTATCCGTAAGCGTGTCGCCCGCGCTTATATTCTGCAGATAATTTCACGAAACACCGTAGAAATTGTGATTAAAAATCGGGTGAATATTATACCGTGAAATTCTAGTTGCTTGTTTTATTCAGCATTTCTATAGCAACTAAAACAATTTATACCAACAAATCTCAAATTTGACCAGTGCGTCGGTTATTTATAGTAATACACCTAATATTCTGCGCGAATCCTGCTTTCTGCTGAACAAATATGAGCACTACGCGATTCGGTGAGGCTTCCGAAGCTACTATTAACGTGGCTATCGATCAAGTGACGCCAATAAATACTAAGAAATCGAATGGTTACGTATGGAAGCAGTTTCATGAATTTTGCGGACAACGAGGTTACGAATTAACAAGAACGACGCCCACCACAAAACTTGCCCTAATTATGAAGGATTGGGGGTACAACATGAAACAGAAGAATGTAGAAGACTATAAGGAATCGGTGATAAAAACAATGTGGAACGTGACCGCCAAGCAGCTTCAAAAATTGTATTTTCAAGAATTCGGTGTAAGGTTTGATCCATTTTCTGACGTAGAGTTTAAACAAAGTCGCGCCGCCCGAGACGCCAAAAGACGTGAACTGCAGAAGCTGCCTGAAAAACGGAAGTGCAGCTCATCTGCCCTGAGTGATGCGGAATATAAAGATATTGGCCCGTATGAATAAAAGTAAGCAAATGCTTATACTTGCAAAATTCAAAGTAAATACTCGTAACTGCCCCTTCATACTGGTCTGTTTAGCATGGTTTAGCAGCGCTGCACTGCGTCCTGTCCTTCTGCTTAGAAGCGCTGCTAGGGCGAAGGAGCACTTACGAGTATTTACTTTGAATTTTGCAAGTATAAGCATTTGCTTACTTTTATTCATACGGCCCATTGTTTCAAAGCTCGACGAGGATACACCTGACGGTTTGGAACGAAAATTCTACTACATTGCTAGCTATGAACTGGCTTGGCGAGGAGGGGAAGCCGCAGTTGCTGAGGTGAATTTTTTCCACGACGAGGTAAGCAATTCCAGCGTCTGGTCCGGAAGAATAGAATACAACCCAGTATTTAGTAAGACTGCACAAGGTGGAGGTCGGAAACTAGCAGACAGCAAATGGCTGGTAGCTAACACGGAGAAGTCGAAATTTTGTCCTGTGAGGTATCAATTGTTATTTTGTAAAATTACAAGTTTATTTAGTATCATCTGAATAATTCAGGTTATTCAAGAAGCTCCTGAGTAAGAGAGGACCAAATGTTACTACAAACAGGCTGTTCCTGACTCCCAAACCACTATGGAGGGATCTTTCTTCCGTTGGCTGGTACAAAAATTCTCCTGTTGGAAAAAATCAAATAGGGAAATGGACGAAATCTGATGCGAAACAAATCGGCGTTGATACAACAATAACGAAAATCACCAATCACTCTTTGAGATCCTCAGCAGTCTCCCATTTGGCAAGAGGGGGTGTTGGCGAAGAGCAGTTAATAAAGATTACTGGACATGCGAGCACAGCTTCCATTAAGCCCTACCTCCAGCTGGATTCATGTCATCATGCTAAAATAATAGGAAAAATGAGGAATGAAGCATCATCGTCCACTTATTCTTCAACTTTAATTACAAGTTCCAGCTCATCGAGCTCCTCAACAAATCTTGAAAAAGAGTGTGACGTTAGCGCAAAAAAACCTAGAATTATGAATTTTTATAATTGTACCTTTCATAGCAATCAATTTTGATTTTTAAAAGCTTGTATAATTTAGAGTTTCAACTCTTCAAGAAAAGAAATAATTGCTTATTATGTTGTTTCTTTCTCCAGCTACGATTATTTTTGAGTTTTCATTATGACGCGTCGTATGCGGGACGTCGCCAATAATCTTCCCTAGGGCGATTATCGTAAGTAATTGCACAAGTGCATCAAAATTACCGATAATTTTTTTGAAAGCATGTTGTCTAAAAACTGCATGAGTTTATTTTCATATTTTGGCGAAAGAGCCCGACACCGAAGGTGGAGGGCTCTTTTAACAAAATATGAAAATGACCGAATGCAGTTTTTTACTGACAACATGCTTGAATAAAAAATTATCGCTGAAATACCACACGTGAAATTATCGCTGAAATACCACACGTGAAATTATCACTTATAATTGCACGAGAGGTTTGTATTTTGCCGAGTAAATTTGGGTTGTTTAGGTAATGAAAATCTGTTGCCTAGCAATTAGACGAGAAAAACTGTCAACTAATAAAAATGCGACACCGAAGGTGGAGCATTTTTAGGTTGACAGTTTTTCGAGTTCAATTGCTAAAAGGAAACAGATTTTCATTACCTAAACAACCCAAATTTACTCGGTTTAAATACAAACCTCGAGTGTAATTCGGCAGGACAATTTAACGAACAAGAAATTCACCAAACTAATCAATTATTGACGGACGTCAAACTAGTCATATGGGAAAGGATAATGCGATAATTGATTCGAAAATGAATAAGTGAAAAAACCACTAGTGCATTTGTCGCTGGAAAAGTTGCAGGTAACTTTTGCCGCTGTCAAAGTGACAATTGCACTGCGGCTTATGCGATTTTTTATACATGAGTTGAATTGTCACTATAATTCGTTCCCATTGGCGCAGCAATTTGAAACCGAGACATTTCACTGGTTGAAATGTGACAAATGTTAGATGAATTGAATAGTCAGGTTTATTTTGATGCACGAGTGTAATTTAGGGGAATATTTCCCGAACAAGCATTACTTGTCAAACTGACGTTACCTACTTATAAATTGTCGGTGTATTGTGAAATTGTCCAAAGGAGTTGCCAGTTGCCATGGATATGGACAGTGCAATTATCGCAGGGCTCTTTCGCTTTCTACAGTGCAATTATCGCTGTAATTGAGCGATAATTGCACACCTCATATTATGGCATTTATGACATATGAGGGAAATATTCGCGAATATTTCCCTCATATGTCATAAATGCCATATGAGGTGTGCAATTATCGCTCAATTACAGCGATTATTTTTTGACGTTTCTCGAAACCAATAGAAATGTTCAATTTCAGTCATTCATATACGTTCTAGCCAATCACAACATTATTATAGTGAGAATAATCTACTTACATTATTCCCAGCGAGAATTTTTCAATGTACATTGTTTTTAGTGAATGACAACCACATGACAACTATTTTCTTGATCTCACGCGTCTGTCATAAATTTTCAAGAAGCTCGTAAAATGAATCGCAAACGTTTTAGTGAATCATCAGTCGATGAAATAAGTAATATAATCATTGTAAGTAAATGTAAGTGCATTTAAGAATATGTAGGTACCCTAATAAGCAACGCGTCTGTTTGGAAACAATTCCAATTATTTTGCCACGAAATGAGGGGCTATAAATTGGAAGGAAAAACATCAACCGCAAAACTAGTCGTTATTTTGAAGGACTAATGGGTTGAATATGCGAAGAAACAGAATGGAGAAGACTATAAAGAAAATTTTAACAGTGATTTTGATTGTAACGTGAAAAAATAATCTATCGAATACCACACGAGAGTTCGATAAATTAGATAATAATTCTCCAGGTCTTTTCTCAAACGTGTTGCCATTTGGCAATAGTCACGAGAGCCCAAAAGGCAACAAGTTTTCTAAAACCTGTCGAATTATTTTCAATTTATTCTCACTCTCTTGTGATATTATTACAGATAATTGCACTGTAGAAAGCGAAAGAGCCCTGCGATAATTGCACTGTCCATATCCATGGCAACTGGCAACTCCTTTGGACAATTTCACAATACACCGACAATGTATAAGTAGGTAACGTCAGTTTGACAAGTAATGCTTGTTCGGGAAATATTCCTCTAAATTACACTCGTGCATCAAAATAAACCTGATAATTTTTTATTCAAGCATGTTGTCAGTAAAAAACTGCATTCGGTCATTTTCATATTTTGTTAAAAGAGCCCTCCACCTTCGGTGTCGGGCTCTTTCACCAAAATATGAAAATAAACTCATGCAGTTTTTAGACAACATGCTTTCAAAAAAATTATCGGTAATTTTGATGCACTTGTGCAATTACCTACGATAACCATCCCTAGAGAAATTATCAGAAAATGAGATCCTGATTGGGCAGTTTTTTCAAAATGGACAGTTTTGATTTGGCCGCGTCAGTCATGTGACAGTTGAGTGTAATTATCGGACAAATATTAATTGGTTTTGCGATAAACAATGCCACGTGCGAGATGAGCAACGCAGGTGTCGATCAATTTCGTTGCGTGTAAACTTCAAATAAGATTTTTCCGGCAATCAGTCGATGTTTTGAAGTTTTTGTTGGTTGCAATTGAAGAAGAAGTGATACGAAAAATTGTTTTCTGATTGCTGTACAAATCAGTGTGCAAGTGCAATATAGAAGAGGAGGTTTTGGCAATGTTGAAGTTTGTACCCGAAATGTCATTGAGAGGTCAAAAATAGTTTGTGTACATGGTTGTGCATGGTTTCGTCACTTATTGCATCTGTACAGGCGATTTTAGGCCAAAAAATTTGGATTATTACAACAAAGTAGTGAGTACTTTTGAGACTTATTTTTTGTCTGCATTCGACCGTTTCCAACGGGGTGTAATTTTGCAATAAGGCGCTGTTAGCCATCAGATTATTTGATTGTCTTGTAGAAATGTTTATTTTATTTTTGTATGTCTGTGTTAGCGTGTGGTATAATGAAGATTCATTTTCTATGCGGTTATGTGTCAATTTAAATTCCAGTGAAAGTAAAGAAAATCCAGATAAGTTTGTTTCTCTTGTTGTTGTTTCATTTGAATTACGGATTTCCGTAACTTCAACTTTTGGATAAGTTGGTGTTGAGATTTTCCAGCGTTGCGGAATCCGGTTGCACCTTGAGATTAAGATTTTTGTTTAGTTATTAAAAATAAAGTTTATAGGAATGTGAGGATTTAGCTAATATACTTAAAAAATTTTACAAACCAGAGAATTTCCTAAATATCTAACGCAGAAAATTATTGCGATGTAGACCCAATGTTAAATTGAAGCTAAAACTATTTTGTAAGTTCGTAAAATCCATTACTTCATAAAACGTTATATGGTAGGCTATTAACAGTTTATGCATTACCGAATTTGTGATTAATATTAAATACATATTATCCAGTTACGGATTAGTTTGAAACTATTTAACGGATTTCTCATTACGATGCATTCGAGTAACTGGACCAGAAATCAAGCATATATTGAATTATGCGTTATATGGGGTATTTGAACTAGCATTTCTATTAGAAGGAATTTAAAGTTATGAATGTGAGGCACCCTAATATGATAAATAATTTGATTGTGCTGTGCATTAACAATGAAAAGTTGCTTGAATCTTTTCAATTCATACGTTACTGTCGAGTAAACCAACCCATCGTGTCGTTGAAATTACTTACATAAAGGATGACAACCAAAACTAGTTTAATTTTATGTACTACACATTGAAATGTAACTTCAACAATAAAACTTTCACGTACGCAAATAAGCAATTTTCACCCTCCTAGCGCAAAATAAACAACTTACCACTTGATTCATATGTGACAATGAATTATTAAACTGTGATTATGCACGAAACATCTTGAAATGCTGCTATACCAATAATAAATATTATACGCTGTACAATTATTCGCCTTTGATTAAATTGTACCTGCTAGGATTATTAATTTTGAGAATATTCAACATTTGTTAAAGGTAGCCGCCTTTTAATCTCCATTATTGAAAATACGATACGAATCAATGAGCTACCAGATGCTGTATAATTTATGTATCTATATCAGCTACAGCAGCAGAGAAAATTAATTAAGTTTAAAGACCCACAATTACATTTCCAATCAATTTGGGGAATAAAATTTTCGAAATATTTTTAAGACTAGATATTTATTACTGCAACGCATGTCTTAGGAAACAACCCTTCAGCTTAGTAGGTTGCGTGGGATATAACTTTATATCATTGTGCACATATAAATTTTATAAACATCGTTTCGCGTAGATAACATTGTTTTATACATTTTCTTGATTATCCCACCCATTCAGGTAAAGTTCATTGTGGTACACTGAAGCTATTTAAATTGCAATAATGCATTCTTTCGGCTCGGTACTAATGCAGTTGTTTCAGTAAGTGCCCTTTATGCATTAAGGGATAAATAAAATCGTGTTTAATGAGTGTTATGGAGGATCTCCTTCCAATTTCATTGCCGTTCTTTCTCTCTAAATCGCGGGAAGTTCAGCATTCCGTGCCGTTCCCAAAGAGACGTAGATTTGTAACTTTAATCCTACTGGCAAATATGCACGAGAATTTAAAAAAAAGAATGCTCTTTCATTAAAAGCGCAATATCTTATTCAAAATAAAATATACACACACAAACTACAAAAGTATCTTATCTCTGGAAATACTTCATCCGCACGAATGAATTTTTTCAATTCAAAAATTTTATATGGAATTGCAATGTCTATTTCGACATCTGATGTTATCTTGAAAACCTAACGGCAATAACAGAGCTTTAGTAATCGAGTATCATCAGAGTGATTGCTTTCCGTTATATATAGAATTTACGTTTGATCAATTTCATGTGAGCATAGAAAATGGAACAATGGAACACAAATTCATCTTCTACTGATGAAATTTCAGCAACACGAAACTAGGCGAATTAAACGAGATGAGACACAATTTAAACGGAATAACTTCAATTACCTATCAGATCAGATCGTAGATA